AATTAACTTAAAAATATTTTAATTTTTTTAAAAAAATTTTATTGAAATGTTTGATATCATATTTGATTTAAAATATTATTTAATCAAGTAAATTAATAAAAACAAAATTAATAGAAAAATTACTTATTTGTTAATTACCATAATTTAAAGATTTTATATATATTTAATAAATTAAACTCACTTTAAATAATAAAAAATTTTGAAAGTTTTCTTTAAATTTTTTAAATTAGTTAACTAATATGATACAAAATATTATAAATTTATAAAATTTGCTTACAGGAAATGGATAAAATTAATGGTATTTAAATTTGAATATAAATTTTTAGTATGATCAAAAGAGTAAAGCAAATAAGCTAATTGATAAAGCTGTAAAACCTATCATAATACTGTTATTTGTGCTAATTTAGTCAAAGTTAGGAGCTATACCGTTTCCAGTTTCATCAATTTAATTATCAGAGTTACTGGTTGTGTAAACACTAACACCATTTGGATCTATAACAGCATCAGATGAGGCTTATAATAATCTATTACTCTCTTCTTCCTCAGCTCTCAATAATCTCAATTTCTTCTCAAGAGAGGCATCTCCTTGTAAAATATTCTCACAAGCTGAGTTATCTCCAAATATAGTTGTACCTTTACATATTTTACCACCCTTACCATCATCGTTAGAAATTTTAGGATTAGCAAAAATAGTTTTGATATTATCAAGAACATTAGCTCCACATTTATCATTATTCTTAATGTAAGCAGCATTCAATTCTTTAACAATCAATTCGATATTAGAAGGAGTAAAGAAACTTGCAGTACAAGATATAGCTTAGTCAGTTGATTATATGAAGGTATTAACTGATGATTGAGAAATCTTAAGTTGGCCTTAAGCATTGAAGTAGTCATTGATTTTTTCAACACCAGCACAAATAGAGCACAAAGCACCTCTTGTGAAAGATGAAATAGCCTTAGCGAAATTGATTCTGCAAGTGGCTTGAGCTGTTTTGTTGGCTTGTAAAACTTTTAAGGTTGTATTAGCAAAGATAGCATCAAAAGTAAGAGGAGTAGAAGGAAGAACAGTGTTAGAACAGTTTTTGGTGACTTAAGTAACATAAACACTGACAAGCTTTTGGAAAGCACTTTTAGATTATAAGATTGGCTTAACCTTTAGTAAAGCAGCAGTATCGATCAGCTTGACCATATTTTTATCACAACAAGAATTTTGATTGGCATATTGAGAGCAAACACCTAAATCAGCAGCAGTTCTGTTGGCAGGTTTAGCATTTTGGAATTACTTTTGAAGAGCCTCATTTTTAGACTTTCCTTTACTATCAGACTAGAGAACATTAGAGAGAACATTCTTAGCCTTTGAAAAAGCAAGGTGAGAACTGCAGGTTGGAGCATTATTTGCAGCAAGAGTAATAGAAATCATGTAAGTAGCTAAAAGAGCTAAAATGATAGTTTTTGACATTTTAAGTTGAATTTATCTTATTTGGAGGATTTTAATTATTTTTGATTGATTATTAATTATGATATATTGTTTGCTAGTCATTCAGTATTTATTGTAATATACTTGTTATCTGATGAATTCGAGAATAATAAAATCTGATTAAATGAATTTAAAAAAAATTTCTTAAGTCTATGAAATAAAAAATTGATAAAATAGCCAATTTGCAAATTATAAGTATCAAATATTAATTTTGATCAATATTATTGAAAAGGAAAATTAATATTAAATAAATTTTTTATTCTATTTATATATTGAATTGATTAAAAAATATATTAAACAAATTTATATTTTTGATTATCTTCTATTTTGTCTATTAATTTAATTAAATATAAACTTTGAAGTCTATAAATCAAGTTAAGTGTATATTTTATTCTTTATATTACTTATTACAGAAAATTGCGTACATAAGTCTAAGAGTAAAAAATTGCTTAAAATATACAGTTACACAGTTAATAAATAATTTTTATAATGGAAATAATTAATTTGAGATAATAAATTTTGTTTATTTTTAATGAATACTCAGTTTGATAAGTTTTAGTTTATTTATTTTTCAATAAATTTTTACTTAAAAAATTTCAAAATTTACTTTCTTCTGATTTTTCTTCTAAATAAGAAAACTTTTTTTTTTAAATTATTTTTTTTGAAATATAATTTAAAATAATTAATGTTAATTAAATGAATCAATAAATTAATAATTTACTTAAGAATATTATTTATTTTTATTTTTTACAAATTTTATTCAAATATTGATATCATATTTAATTTAAAATATTATCTAATCAAATAAATAAATAAAAACAAAACTAATTGAAAAATTACTTATATATTAATTACTATTATTTAAAGATTTTAGATGTATTTATTAAAATTTAAAATAAATCTTACTTTAATAAAATTTTTTGAAATTATTCTTTAGATGTTTTAAATTAGTCAACTAATATGATACAAAATATTATAAATTTATAAAATTTGCTTACAGGAAATGGATAAAATTAATGGTATTTAAATTTCAATATAAATTTTTAGTATGATCAAAAGAGTAAAGCAAATAAGCTAATTGATAAAGCTGTAAAACCTATCATAATACTATTATTTGTGCTAATTTAGTCAAAGTTAGGAGCTATTCCGTTTCCAGTTTCATCAATTTAATTATCAGAGTTACTGGTTGTGTAAACACTAACACCATTTGGATCAATTACAGCATCAGATGAGGCTTATAATAATCTGTTAATCTCTTCTTCCTCAGCTCTCAATAATCTCAATTTCTTCTCAAGAGATGCATCTCCTTGTAAAATATTCTCACAAGCTGAGTTATCTCCAAATATAGTTGTACCTTTACATATTTTACCACCCTTACCATCATCATTAGAAATTTTAGGATTAGCAAAAATAGTTTTGATATTATCAAGAACATTAGCTCCACATTTATCATTATTCTTAATGTAAGCAGCATTCAATTCTTTAACAATCAATTCGATATTAGAAGGAGTAAAGAAACTTGCAGTACAAGATATAGCTTAGTCAGTTGATTATATGAAGGTATTAACTGATGATTGAGAAATCTTAAGTTGGCCTTAAGCATTGAAGTAGTCATTGATTTTTTCAACACCAGCACAAATAGAGCACAAAGCACCTCTTGTGAAAGATGAAATAGCCTTAGCGAAGTTGATTCTGCAAGTGGCTTGAGCTGTTTTGTTGGCTTGTAAAACTTTTAAGGTTGCGTTAGCAAAGATAGCATCAAAAGTAAGAGGAGTAGAAGGAAGGACAGTGTTAGAACAGTTTTTGTTGACTTAAGTAACATAAACACTGACAAGCTTTTGGAAAGCACTTTTGGATTATAAGATTGGCTTAACCTTTAGTAAAGCAGCAGTATCGATCAGCTTGACCATATTTTTATCACAACAAGAGTTTTGATTGGCATATTGAGAGCAAACACCTAAATCAGCAGCAGTTCTGTTGGCAGGTTTAGCATTTTGGAATTACTTTTGAAGAGCCTCATTTTTAGACTTTCCTTTACTATCAGACTAGAGAACATTAGAGAGAACATTCTTAGCCTTTGAAAAAGCAAGGTGAGAACTGCAGGTAGGAGCATTACTTGCAGCAAGAGTAATAGATATCATGTAAGTAGCTAAAAGAGCTAAAAGAAAAGCTTTTGTCATTTAAACTTTAATATTTAATATTTTTTGATAACTTTTAAGTATTTTTGAGTTTTTAAATTGTTTTGTTAATTATTAATTTATTTATTGATATCAACACTTATTTAGCATCTTTGAATTTGTAGTATTTAATAATACTTATTTGTATTCTTTCTGATAAATTAGTAAATATAAAATAGAAAAGTTTGATTGAATAAATTTAAATAGAACTTCTATCAAGTCTATAAAATTAATGCCTATCTAATTACTATTTTTGATTAAGAGTTATCTTATCCTTAATTAATTAGATGACTCTTCAAAAAAAAAATAAGTAGAAAATTAATTTGATTGAAAAGAAAATTTAGGAATAGACACTTCATAAAGAATAAAATCTATTGAACGAAATTATAAGTCTATAAAGACCCAATAGCAAATAATTTATTTATTAAAAAATAAATCTAATTAATTGTTCAAAAATCAATAGATAAATAAGAATTGTCTATAAATTTGATAAGATTAAAAATTTCGAATGCTTATCTATCTATTAATCTGATTAAATCACTTTGATTTTTTAATAAAGTCTAAATATTTTATATTCAATGAACTTTAGTTTTTTATATTTTATGTGATTGTTATCTAAAAATTGGTTAAGCAAAAGTCTAAATTCATACATACATAAGTCTCTAATACCAATTTAATATTTTTCTTTATTTAATTTTTATTTATCTTATATTTTGAATATGACATTTATTTGATAGTAATTCATAAATTTGTGTTGACAATAAATACTTCAAAATTTCATATAAACACTTAAATTTATTTTATCTCAGATATAAAAAAATTAAATAAGTAAATTTTACTATTAACTTAAATTTATAGTCCTTCATAGCTAAACATTTATGAAATTATATTATATTCAATTTTGATAAAAATGTTTATTAATAAAGAAAAAGCTTTTTAACACGAATATAAAATACTATTTGATATAGTTAAGATATTTTTTGATTTAAATCCAAAATAAGAATTAATAAGTATTCTTTAATTGGCCAAGGAAAAAAGACTAAATAAATGATCATATTTATTAATTAAAGGAAAAATGAATATTTAAATTTTACCATTCAGATCTATTTATTAATTAAAATAGATTGCAAAAAATTGATTAAAATCATACTTTATTAAATTACAAAGTCTATCTTTGAACAAAATTTAAAAGAATTTCAAAAAATAAATGAATTTTGTTTGTTATGAAGATTAAATAAAATTAGATTTAAAATATTTTAATTTTTTTATAAACAAAATATTAAGTGCATAAATTAAAGATAAATATATATAAACAGAACAAAATTTAAAGGTTTCTATTTCAAAACTCAAATTAATAAAGTTAATATAATAGTAGATATAATACCATAAGTTAATTAAATCCCATCGTTAGTATTAATTTAATCGAAGTTAGGTTATATCCCACTGCCATTTTCATCAATATAATTATCTGTGTTACTGGTAGTGTAAACACTAACACCGCTGGGGTCAACAACTGCATCTGCAATGCTTTATAGTAATCTATTCATACTTTGATCATCAAATCCAAGGAATCTTGCATTCTTCTAATCTAAATTTGGATCTCCTTATAAAACATTCTCACAAGCAGAATTATCTCCAAAAACAGTTGTTCCCTTACATATTTTACCCCCTTTACCATCATCATTTGTAATTTTTGGATTAGCGAAAATAGTTTTGACATTAGCTATTACATTAGCACCACATTTGTCGTTATTTTTTATGTAAGCAGCGTTTAATTCTTTAACAATCAATTCTATATTAGAAGGAGTAAAGAAACTTGCAACACAAGATATCGATTGATCTGTTGATTATAAGAAGCTATTTACTGATGATTGAGAAATCTTAAGTTAGCCCTAGGCATTGAAGTAATCGTTTATATTTTCAACACCAGCACAAATAGAGCACATAGCACCTCTAGTGAAAGATGAAATGGCCTTAGCGAAATTTATTTTGCAAGTGGCTTGAGCTGTTTTATTAGCCTGCAAGATTTTAAGAGTTGAATTATTAAAAATAGCATCAAAAGTAATAATAGTTGAGGGAAGGACAGTGTTAGAACAGTTTTTGTAGACCTAAGCAATATAAACGCTAATTAATTTTTGGAATGCACTTTTGGCTTCTTGAATAGGTTTAACTTTTAATAAAGCAGCTTGATCAATCAACTTTACCATATTTTTATCACAACAAGAGTTTTAATTAACATATTGAGAGCAAACACCTAAATCAGCAGCAGTTCTATTGGTAGGTTTAGCATTTTGAAATTATTTTTGAAGAGCTTCATTTTTAGATTTACCTTTGCTATCAGATTAAAGAGAGTAAGTGAGTATATTTTTGGCTTTAGCAAAAGCAGGATGAGAATTACAAGTAGTTTTGTTTGCTGCCAAAGCAACAGATACAAAAGAAGCTACTAATAAGATGGTTATGATCACTTTTGACATTTAATCTTTTTTTTAATTATATATTAAGTTAATTAAAATATAAATATATCAAATTTAATTTTGATGATTTAAAATATACAAAAGTGTGAAACTATTCGAAAAATAGTATTTAATTTGTTTTATCGTTTCTTATTATTTAAAAATAATTATTAAGTCTATAAAATGAAAATAAACCAAAATAAGAATTAAACAGAATTTCTAATAGATACTATTTTAAATTAATTTCTTTTAAATGTAGACTTTTTAAAAAACAAATAGTAAAAAAATTAATTAATTTTTTCTAACCATAGCAAAATATTTTTTCTTTAAAATATTTAAACTATATTTTGTTATTATAGCTAAACGCCTAATTAAAATCTAGTGGTATAACAACCCCTAAATATTATATTTTACTAAAAAAAATAATTTGAAAATTAAAACACTTATTGGGGGGGGAGAATAACTTAATTTATTTTTATTTAAAAATTTATCTAAGATAATTAGGATTGATAAATATATTTTTAAATTGTTTTAAAAATAAAGTGTTGATTTGTATGCAATAAAATAAATTAATTTTATTTCCATCACACTAATTCAAATAAAAGAAATATATGAACAATTTATTATTTAAAAAAATGTTTTTCAGTTTATTTTTTAAGATGTTTTAGATTAAATCTTTATTTAAAAAAAATTATTTGTATACTTAAGAAATTTCTTTTTTAACTAAATTAGAATTATTATCTTTTAGTGAGTGAGTTAAGGTTGTTATAAAATTCTATCAAATTTTTAGAAAAGAAAGAAGCAAAAAAAATAAAAATTATTATCAAATAATGTGTTTTTTCAAAACAAATAGTTAATTTTTTTTTTATAGATTCAAAATAAGAAATATATTAATCCAAATAAAGCACCAATAGTTTTATTTAAACCAAAATTAGTGTTTATTCCATCAAAATTAGCCATAATTCCATTACCATTTTCATCTATTTAATTATCATTGTTACTTGTTATATAAATATTAACACCATTTGGATCAACAACTGAGTCTTCAACGCTTTAAAGTAATCTGTTCATATCTTAGTCATCAAATCGAAGAAATCTTAAATTGTTATATTCAAGATTTGAATCTCCTTACAAAACTTTCTCACATGCAGAGTTATCTCCAAAGACTGTTGTTCCCTTACATATTTTACCACCTTTTCCATCATTATTTAAAACTTTAGAGTTAGCAAAAATTGCTTTGATATTTGTAAGGACGTTTTAACCACAAATATTATTATTCTTGATGTAAGCAGCATTTAATTCCTTAACAATGATTTCTATGTTAGAAGCAGTTAAGAAGCTTGAAAAACAAGATATAGCTTGATCAGTTTATTATTAAAAGATATTTACAGAAGACTGAGAAATCTTTAATTAACCTTAATCATTGAAATAGTCATTAACTTTTTCAACACCAGCACAAATAGAGCACAAAGCCCCCCTTGTGAATGAAGAAATGGCCTTAGCAAAATTAATTTTGCAATTGGCTTGAGCTGTTCTGTTAGATTGTAAAATCTTAAGAGTAGAGTTTTTAAAAATATCATCAAAATTAAGAGGAGAAGAGGGAAGAACATTACTAGTGCAATTTTTATTGACCTAAGCAATATAAACACTGATTAGCTTTTGAAAAGCACTTTTGGATTATTAGAGAGGCTTTACTTTTAATAAAGCAGCTTAGTCTATCAATTTTACTATATTTTGATCACAACAAGTGTTTTAATTAGCATATTGAAAGCAGACACCCAATTCCTCCTTTGTTTTATTAGTAGGGTTAGCATTTTGGAATTACTTTTGAAGAACATCATTCTTTTACTTACCTTAACTATCTGAATTAAGTACGTAGGTAAGTATGCTTCTTGCCTTAGCAAATGCAAGATGAGAACTACAAGTATCATTATTTGCTGCTACTGTAATGGAAATTGCAGAAACTGCAAATAAAATAAATAATTTAGTTTTTGAATTAGTATTATATTTCATACTTATTCTGTATTTTTAATATTCGAATGCTATTTTTGTGTTTTTGATTTTGATTATTAAAAAATTAATTAGCTTTATTAAATATATCAACTATAATTTTAGTGATAAATTAAGTATTGGTAATATATAATAAATCTTTTTTTCTTTTTTTAGAAAAGTTAGAAAATTTATGAGAATGAAAAAAGTCATTTAATTATAAACTTATTACCAAGTAATTTTCTATTTACTTACTTACAGACCGATTCGACCTCTGAAAGATATTATGAACTCATAAATAAAGATGCAGTTAATATTTATAAAATATAAGAAAAGTAGTAAATTATATATTTTTTATATATTAATATTAATTCTATTCCACAAGAATTCTAAAATTCTATTATTTCATATACAATTGATTAAATTTTAAATCACCAAGTTAATAATTCAAGTTATAATTTTACTTTATTGAAGAATAAATGATTTGAAATATTTCTTTTATTTATTTATTTAATTTATTTTCTCTTAAATAAAGATTAAAAAAATTGGTCAACATATATTTAAACAACACTTACTTTCACCTACTCATTTAAAACGACACCTAATCTTAATACCTTTAAATGACACTGCTTTTTAATTAATTTAAATGACACCTTTATTTACTATTTTTAAACGACACCACAGTAAATATTTTAAATTACTCCCCAGTTAAATATTTTAAATACACCAATTTCAAAAAAACAATAAAATTCAGGCTTTAAATTATTTTTAGAAACTGTTTTAATTTTATTGCTAATTACAGTATTTATTTTAGTAATTCAAATTAATTAAAAATTTTATGAATAGTGTTGATCCAGTATGAACAATTGGGTATTTTTTAGATTCCAATATTAAAATTTGTTAATTAAACCTTGTTAACAATTTTCATAGAAAATATTTTTAAACAAATTATCATTACTTTTGTACTGCTTGCTTGTTTATGGATTTGATTTAATAAATAATTTAAAATAAAAACAGTTTATTTACTCTTTAAAAATTAAATGAATAAAGATTAATTTTTTTTTTGTTATGAATACTCAACTTACAGAATAAAAAAATAAAAGAAAAGTTTTTAATTAGTTAAGAAGCTCATTTTAGTATTTTAGATAGTAGAACTAAACGAAAAAAGAAAAAATAACTTTTGTTTAAGAAAAATTAGTAAGTTTTAAATTGAAAATGAATTTTATTTATATAAATATTATTATAATAAATTAAAAAATTAAAAAAACTTCTTCTTTAAATTCAGCCTATTACAGATTTTTAAATAGAAAGTCATTAATATTTATTTATATTTAATTTTTGTGGCTGTAATTGATAAATTATTTAATTTATTATTAAAAACACACATTTAACAAATTTTAAGAAAGAAAAGTAAAACAAACAAACAAACATAATGCTTATGGTTTAGATTTTTTTTATATTATTTGCTTTATCTCTTGTTTAATCTAGATTATATTAGTAAGAAAATCTTTATTTGGAGTAATCTTAAAAGATTTAAAAGTCTAGATTGGCTTAATAATAAAATTGTTTGAAAAATTGCGATATTTGTGATCATGATGGATTTTGTCTTAAATGTAAAGATTAAAGGATTACTCCTAATTGTGATTGCTAAATAGGTTACTATGACAACCAAGGGACCTGCGTAGCTTGTTAAGCTGGATGTATGAGCTGTACATCATCAAATAACTGTTCATAATGCTATTCAATTTATTCTTATAATTCTAAGAGTAAAACTTGTGTTTGCAATATCCCAAATATTGATGGTAAATTGAATTTTAAGATAATAAATTTAAAATGAATGAACTCTTAAAATAAATACTTAGGTAGCTGCACAACTCCAAAAGAAGGAGTCTTGTTTTATACATCTAGATATTTGAATGATTTCAGATCGATTGAAATTACATTTAACTAGATGATCTATATAAATAACATGCAGCTTTACTATTAATTTTTCCCAGCATACACCAAAAGTTGTGATGTATTAGACTCTACAACTTAGTAGTTGTATGGACTTTCTAACATTGAATGTTATATAGATTCTTTATAGAGAAACAGATATATTGTGAGCTTTAGTAACATCATCTATTTTATTTTTTTTTACGTTTTATGCACAAAATATTTAAAGTCAATTCTTGCTATTTAGCTAAGACTAAATAAGTTTTTTTAACATGACTAAAAGTTTAATTTTTGATCAAATTTTTTAATTTACAATCGCAATTTATATATACTTACTGATTTTGTTTTAATTAGAAAATATTGTGGCCAATTCGATATCTCAATAATCATTCTTTTCTAATCCAGGAATCAATATATCAAACATTAGTATTGTTAATAATCAAATTTTGATCCCAGTAAAAAAAATTTATAACATAGAAAAAAATTTGGGTGTTTAACATAATTATATCAGTAAGATTTGTTATTTTAGTAAGACAAACTATGTTTATAAATATTTTAGTGGAAATCCTTTAGCGAAATTCAATTTTATTGACCCTTTCTTATAACCATGGATTAAAATTGTCTCTTATGGTATTTCTAGTCCTTCTATTTATAGTATTTTACCTTTGAAACTAAGCGGTCAGACTTTACAGTTTACTCTCGATCCACTTTTAGATATTTAAATATCTATATACATAGAATGTTCGATATTTGGGATTACAACCATAGATACCATTAAAATTAATTTAACATTATTTTATTCTAGCTAATTAGATACTTTAACTTCTTAGTTCCTGTAACCTTAACCATATTTTAAATTTGATGGTACTTCCTCACTGATTGTTAGCCAGTAATTTTAATAAAACCCTAGCTTGAATGGATATTAGTTTTCTTTATCTTACATTCCATAAATCGAGAGTAATTCAGTTATCTATCCAATGAGTTAGTCATCCTTTCAAACAGCTCTTCCAGCTTACTCTGCAAAAAAAATAGAAGCTGTTTTTATATTTGTAAATTTTTTTACTAATCATTTATTAAATATTTTGATTAACTCTAGATTAAGATAATAATTTTTCCTACTTAGTATCATAAGAAATTTTTGAATTGCAGATTAATTAGCAATTTACAATAACTATGACTTTTTAAGACTTTAAAATATAAATTTTTTTTTTGAAACATTATATTAAAAGAATAGTTTTGTTTAAACATCCTTTTATTTTATAGAGGATTTTAATTTAATATTTATAAAAATAAGCAAAGTTAATTTAAATAGCTAATTAAAGTAGAAAAAAGTCAATTTAAATTTCTAAATTCTAAATCAATTTGAAAAAAAAACTCAAAAACAAAATTAAAATAGTTTGCTTGATTTATTTTTATTTAATAGAATAAATAACTTAATGAAATTTCTAAAAAAAATATTAAATTTAAGATTATTTTTGAAAAATTTTGAAAAGTAGAACTAATTAAGTAATTATTTTAAATACATAAAGAGTAGGATATATGATACCCAGAGCAAAGAACTTCTAATTTAAAATATAAAATACTTGAATTATTATTGTCAGATGATATAGTTTAAAAATGGCTAATTAACTATGAATTATTAAGGCTAGGATCCATAGTAAGATTTAACTATTTAAATAGATGCATCTAATTTTTAGCTAGCTCTAACACAAACTTTAAATATGAATAATTACAACTGTTCTTGGTATTGCATTGACTAAAATAAATAGCCTTGCTTAAATAGAAATAATTTAATACTTCAATATTAATAAAATTTTACATAAATAACTATTCCTAAACATTAAATTAAAATTAATACACAATATCTGTTTTACTTTTAAATAAGCTTAATTGGTTATTCATTTAGCACTCAATAATTAGAAAATGTTATAGATTCAGGAAATACTTATGCTTATGCTATTATTGATAACTAACAATTAAACTAAGGAGTTGCATATAAATACTTAGAGGATGACATATTATTCGATATTTAAATTCATACAGATTTTCCATACTAAGTTAACAATGCGCTTTATTACATTAATTTAACTTCTTAAAATGTAAGTGCTAGTGCTAAATCCATTTCAAACTTAATCAGCTTTACTATACAAGATTTAATCCCCAATCCTATGAGTCATCAAATAATATTATTATAGTATTATATGCAAGATTTTACTCTAGCATAAAATATTAATATGGATTAGTAGAATTCATTATTTTAAATAAAATTATTACAATTAGCAAAAATCAAATTTAAAATTGGTAAATTTTCATTCTTTTTTTTCATAATACAATTCTTTTTTTTTTGAACAAAATTTGTTTTAATTTTTTAAAAAATTTAAACATTTTTAGAAATATATATCAATTATTATTTTCATTGTTTTAGATGGAGAATAGCCATTTGTTGCATTCACAGATTATGTCACAATTAAGCTTGTATCTTCAACTAACGATAACTTGATCTATTAGTATTTCTACTACAATAATCAAAGTGATAGAAATATAGAAATATAAAACCCATTATTGACTAGAAGGAAAATACTAAACGTCACATAAATAGATGAAAAAGTAGTTGCATTACTACCTCCTGGGGATATAGTTATTTTGATTTTCGCATACAACAAGGAACAATAATAATATTGTAATCAAACTTAGGTAGTTCATGTAAAAGATAATAATTTCAATTAGAGTTCATTTACTGAATTTATTTTAAAGCATTACAATTAATCATAAAATGACTAGTACTTAAATTAAATTCAAAACGAAATTTATGCTTATCAAACGATTATTGAAGCAATTGAATAATATGAAAAGAATAACAAATAATCTGACGAAATAAAATAAAAAAAATTAGATATCTTACTAAGACTTCAGTCTACAGATTGGTTGAACCAAGGAATAACAATTTTAAACTTGTCAGGAGAGTAAACTTTAAGATTAATTCAAACTCAACTAGATCTAAGCAGTTAACTTTTAAAACTTATACTAAACTCAACATAAAATAGAATTAGTCAAATTTATTCATAAATATTAAGCATGTCTAATATAAGCAGTTATTACAAATTAATATTCAAAGAAAGCCTTAGAATTTCAGTATAGACTTTCATGATGCTAATTAAAATATCTTAAATTAATGGAGATGTTTCTTAGTTATTTTAAGGTATATAAATAGAGCAATAAGTGTTATAAGTTATGTCTGGATTTTCTTAACTTTTAAATATTAATCAATCTCCAATAAATATTGATACAGCTTAAGCACATTTATTAATTGAAAAATAAGATGCCATCTTATTTACAAATGAATATTGTTTACAATAAGATTTCAATTTCATTCATTAAAACTCCAAAAAATATTTTGAAATTTATACTTAGACATGGCCAAACAATACTTACTTATATAGAGATGAGGTTAATTAATTAGTTAAATAATAAATAGATTAAGTCAATTCTACATTTTAAGGCTTTATTAACTAAACTTATCCTATAAAGATATCCACATTATCTAGCTATTAAAACTAATAACCAAATATAACTATTCCATTAAAATTTGTTGTAAAATTTTCTAATATTTCTACTTAGATTCCAGTATAATGCATATAGAGACAGTTGGCGTATAATTGGACAAATTAAACTTGTTAAACAATTGTTTTGGAAGTCGATAAAAGCTAAGTATAATGTGTTTGCTAAACTCCTGGCACTACTACTATTATTTCAAGCATAGATAATCTAATTACGAATTAAAACTTGTAAAAAATATTTAGTAAAGAAGGTTTTGTTAGCATAGCTCAACTAAGTAACTGGTATGAATATTTACCAATTTGGACAGTCATTGTGATGAGTGTTATATTTGTAGCTCTTTGCATTATGGGAGTTACTTTTGACTTTCAAGATAAAAATATACTAAGGAAACTGAAAGAATCAAGTCTACAATTAAATGGCTAAGAAAATTATATAAATTAAAAATCAATATTTCTAGCTATAAAAGCTAAATATTTGCCTGATAAAGATTCTTAATTAGATAATTTATAGAAAAAAACTCTAAATTTGTTAGAATAAAAATAACAAGGATTATCTCCTACTTTAAAATTTGAATCTGAAATTTAGGAAAATTTTAAAATTGCAAAGTAATAAACAACAGAATTCAATCAAAGCAGCATCTTTAATTTGCAAACAGTAAACATATCACCATATCATAGAAAGAAAAGAAATATATCTTTCTAATCTACTGTGAGCATAACTCATTAACCAAAACAAGATTTTAAATTTATCAACTCAATAAATAAAATAAATTCATTATTACCTTTTATAAAAAGAAACTAAACAAGCTAGTTTTCTTAATCAGAGACTTCAACTAATTCAATTTAATAAATTGATATATAAAAATAGCTGCAATAAATAGAAAATTAATAAGTAAGTTAATTTTAAAAAAATTTAATAAACTTAGAAAAAGTAAATTAATCAAATGAGCCACAAATTGAAAAGAAAAATCTAAGAAATAATAGAAAAAGGTTTTCTAATAAAAGTGACTTAAGAGTTACCATCAGAGAGAAAAAAACATCAAATAAAACTGCTGATAATAGTTTACAAGTAAATTAAGAAGAATAAATAGAAAACTAGATAGACGACTTTTCTAGCAATCACATTTAGGCACTTCCTGAAATATAACAAAAAAACGATATTCAGTAAGAAATTCTATAAGTGATAAATGAAAAAAACATAATAGATTAAGATAAGCATATAGACAAATCTTAAGTTCAACAGGAGTCTGTTGAGTCTTCATTTAATGCCAATCTTACAGCTATTTAAAAATAAGCAAAATATACTCAAGAAAACTTTAGTGTAATATATTTAAATGACAATACTTCAAAGAATAACTAAAATGATAAAACAGATATTTCAATAATTAACAATTATAACAGTTTAAATCATAGCGAAACAATTAATCAATAGTTAAAACAACAGAATACTTCTTTGATAAATGATTCCTAAAAATTTTAGTCTATTTATATAGATAGTGCATTTTAAGCTAGCTTTATAAAAAAAGAAATATTTAGTAAGGATTCAGAAATATTAGATATTAATCCTTCAAATAACATTGAGTCTGTGTAAAACTATTTTTCAAAATAAAGCAAAAATATAATCACCACTTCGTAACTTGAAAAGAAAAATGAAGAAACTGGATTAAACTAAAGTTAAAAATAATAAATAGCCAAACTTAAGCTTTAAGAATATCTATAGAGAGAAAAAGGGTTGTATGTAGTTCTTTCACTTCATCAATTTTTTTCATGTTTTCTTATATTTTATGAGGAAGAGTCCAGATTTATTAGATTTACTATCTACTATAACAAAATCTTATGGCTTCTCGCTTTGAACAGTATATATGGAAAAAATTTAAACATTATAGAGCAATCAATACTAAGTATTTTTACAGCGACCATTTTATAATTTATTACAAGCATAGCTTTTGTGATTTTAAGACATCGCAAAATAAAAGTAATTGCAAAATGTATATTATTTTTATTTTAAATATTCTGCTACTACTGCATATTTTCAACCATCTCAGGATAATCTTCAAAGCAAATAAATTAAAGTACTTTTACATTCTTTGTAACTTTGATATTAAATGAGCTACTTTTTGGACTGAGCTTGTGTACTATTATTTATTTTTGCTGCAAAAAAGTTATTTATTACATATAAAATACTATTATAATAAGAGTATTAGGTGCTGGGTTGCTCTTAAAAACTTTCATGATCTGACATAGAACAAGTTTATTATTTCAATTATCTCTGGATAATTGTCATAGCTAATAAATAAAATACTCTAACATTCATTATAACTTTGATGTTAAATGAGTTACTAATTCGAACTGAACCTATGCAATATCCTTAAATTTGAATACAATAAAAATAATTTATTATATATAAAATATTATTATAATAAGAGCTTTTGATGCTGGATTGCTCTTAAAAACTTTCCTGAAATGTAAAAGAATACATTTTATTGAAAGCTAATTTTATAAAATATTAGTAAATATAATATTTTTTTAAATTTAAAATAAAAGCTACTTTTTTATTTAAAAAATTTATATATATTTAGTCCTTTTTTTATTAATTTTATTCTTCAATGTTTTAAATATCAATTCATTCTTAAAATAATTTAATATTAGAAAATGTTCTCAAATTTTTAAAAATTTAACATTTTAAATGAAAAATCTTATTTGTTTTCTTGGATTTAAATTTGACTTTTTTTATAGAAAAAAAGTAACTTATTTTTTGCAAAGAGGAATACCATAGAAATAAGCAGTTTTCTAATATAAATAAATTAAATGCAATTCGAACAATAAAACAATTTGTTAACCATAATTTATATTTCATTTGACTATCTATAAAATAAAAAAGCTTACAAGTTTTATACAGATTTCTCTTTTTAATTACAAGTAACTCATTGTAATATCATAAATATAATTGTAAATATTTTTAAATAATATCGTTAATAGAGATATAAACAATGCACTCTATTAAATAGTTAGAATTTTACTTATGTGAATATTTATAAAAACTTATTAAAAAAATAAATTTAAAATGAATAAATTTTTTAACATTCGATTTGAATATATTTTGTTTTAAATGATAAATTTTCAAATTATCAATAAAAAAATTCAAGTTATTTTTAAAAAACAATCAATTTAAAAAGTAATTATATTTATATCATGAAAAAAATAAAAGATCCCCCTTTATTTGTGCTCTCACTGACTCACTTAACATTTTGAAATCTATGAAATTAAATTGATTAATCTAGTTTTATTTTGACTAAAAATAGTATTTTTTGATTTATTTAAATGAATGTATGTATATAGTCGTTGATAAACAATTTTCAATCAAGTAGCATTGATCATTTTTCAAAATTTAAATTATTTTTAAATCCAATTGATATTAATTATGCTTTCTTCTCTTAAAGCAATGTTTAAATAAGTTTTTTTTTTATTGAAAAATCCCATCAAAAAATAAAAATAGAATTTAAAAAATATTATTTTTTACTCTTTAATTTGCCTCTCAAAATAAATTTCTAAATTTTAAATATATTTCATTCATATTTAAATATATTTTTATGTATTTTCCAAACCTTTCTAAGACTCAAATTATACTTTTAAAATTGTATCCACATACATTTATTTAAAATTTTAGGAGTTTAATTTTATCTAGTTAATAATTTTTAGATATAAATAAATACTTCATAATTTAGCATGCATTATTTTTCTAAAAATAAGAAAAAAAAGTACTTTGTATGATGTTTAAAAACCAATAATTCTTATTATTGTGATGCATTTATTAAAAGTAGATAATAATTTATTAGTTAAAAGATCTTTCATTTAATTTGGAGTTTATAGATACTAAAAATATCAAGCGCTGTTACAAATAAATTAGTATCTTTTTATTGTTTTTTTATGTTTAAAAAAAATAATACATATTTTAAAAGATTATTTAATTTTTTTTCTACCATCTGAATGAATCATTATTTCATTTTTAGAGGAAATGATAAAGTTAAGTCATTAGTCTTTTAAAATTTGAATTTTTTTTAATTTGAAATTCAAAGGTGATATTGAAGTAAAATGAATCACAAATAAATTTATTAATATTTTTGAATATATTCATTCATTCAAAAATAGAAAATAAAATTATTAATAATAAAACGCTAAAATTTAGTTTAAAAAGTAGGCTAGAAAATAATACTTTCTTTTCATATAACTTATCAAAAGTAGTCAATAGTTATTTTGTGAAAGAAAATTGTTAAAAAATATCACATTAAATTGAAAAATACTAAAAAAATTTAGATTAATTTTTAAAAATATTTATTTATTTATTTATTTGAAACTATTAAAAAGTGATTATTGATAAAAATTTTGAATATTTAAATAAATAAATTTATAAATAAAAAAGATATCCTTTATTTTTTGTCAATTTATCTTTCTAATATTTTAAAGCTAACTAGAAGCATGCAAAAAAGAAAATAAAAATTTCCTTTTGTTTACTTATTTAAAAAATAATTAATGTATAAAGCCAGTCAAGATAAGAAATATTCATTCATCATCAAAAGCAAAACAAAAAATAAAGTGAACAAAAAATCGAGCAAAAACAAAAAAGACCACTTACTTATTAATTAAATGACTTAGACATATAAATCAAATAAAAATTAAAAGATTTGATCAAAAAATATGAAATAAAAAATTTCTAACAAAAATAAAAACCTTTACTTTATTTGTTTGGAAAAGATAAAAAATAAAGATTGATTAATGTTTTTGATTAATAAATTTTATTGAGTTTTGGGTGATTTTTGGTAAGAAAGATAATAAATAAATAAAGATCAGCTTTAAATAAGAAGCAAAATCATCACAATTAATTAATTCAAGTGCTAACAAAATCAATATAAATTAATTATATCAAATGGATGGTTGAATTAAAGATATTTTGTAGATATTTAAATTTTTGATTTTCTTAAATTTGATTTTTAACTTTTTCTTAAAGATATTAACTTTCCCTCCTTTTTCAAAATACTTTTCAATTTATTTTTATCCTATGTGTCCAAAAACATAGTTTGTTTTAAAATACAATTTTCCACCGATTTAAAAATTTGTATGCAAGAAATAGATAGAAATTGTCTAAAAAATAGATATTTTAAAAAGTTTCATAAAAAGTACTATTTAACTATGTAAGATATTTTTATTAGTTTGATTTACTGAAGGATACTCATGTATCTATGCACAAAAAAGCGAATAGATTTTATTTTTATTACAAGGAATATATCAAGATGGAGTAAAAATAAAATTAGAAAAGGTAAATTATTTTTAATAAGCAAGAAATTAATCAAGTAAAGTCTACCTAAAGTAGAAAAACTCTTTATTATTTATAATATATTATAATCTTAGAATTCATCTAAATTAGACGACTCTTAGGCAAATTTGTGTTTGATTTGTCAAACTAAGAGTAACATTTCAAAAAGAAGTTCTTCGGGGGCTAAACAAAGGGGAAATTGATGATTATATTTCTAATTATTGAAGGGTTAGCGAGTAGAAAAATCATTACCAACTAACTCATCAGATAAAAGAAATCAAAAATGATTTAAATTTTATTTATCTGTTAATTATATTTTTAAGTAAAAACTATGTACTTCTTTGCGTAGAAAATATGGGCATTAGCGATGATTTTTCTAAGCGAGAGGGATATTATAAATTTAAAATGAGTTTTTTTTCTATTTTACATTAATTATAATCATTATAATAACAAAAGAACTTTTCTGATATTCAGCAGGCAGCATACATACACAACAGCTTTTATAATATTAATTTAAATACAATTATTAATAATACAAATTTATTTTTAAAAGTTGCTTATCAGTCATTCAAATATGTTATTTAATTTCTCATAAAACACCAATACAATAAAAACCTAAATATGTACATATACTTTTGAAACTCTTTTTGATCTATTTTAGTAAATATAAGGTTGAATAAAAATTGAATTAATTTACATTTAGATTGGCTATAGAGAGTAATGACTGGCAGATAGCTAGACAGATAATTAATAGATAGATAGACATACACATACATAGATATACAGAAAAAAGACAATTTGCTTTTTTATTTTTGATTTATTTGCTTTTAAGTAATTGGAAGATCAAAAGGAATTGGATGATTTATTTACTAATCCAATTTGAGTATTAATAATTTATTTGATAAGATTTATATTTATTGTTTGATGTATCTGATGTGAGGAATCTACAGCCTTTAGATAAATATATTTTTTATTAGAAAGGGTCTGATAGAAATTTAAATTAATATTATTTGAGAAATAGAATCGAGTTAACAGTAATACTTTTTTAAAAAACTAATAAGCTTGAAATCTAAATAGAATAATAGCAGAGTGAGTTTCCATGCATAAGCCTTAACAAAATTTAAATGCTAATCGTTAATCTTACTGCTTTAAATGAATCTATGTTAATTGCTAAATTATAATTATTACATTTAATAATCTTAATTGTAAGGAGTCAGAAAATATTTTAAGACCATAAATATGAGAATCTGTTAAATCTTTTTGTTTTTGAAAGATGAGGTGGGAAATACTTTATAATTAGAAATTACATTTTTAAAACGGCATTGGAAAATTATGATTTGTTGTTGAATAATAATTTTTGTTTCTTAATTTAGAATTTCTTTTATTCTTTTAAGCAAATTCAAATTTCGATAAATGAAAATGGACAAAATACTTAGTGCTATGCTCTTTTAAAAGATTAACTTTAAAGAAAAATTTATGAAAAAGGAATCTAGGAGGAAGGTAGAAACATTCAGTTCTAGAAAACAACCTTAGATCAAAAAAAAATAAAGATAAATTTAAATACAGAAAGAAGGTCTAATATATTAACTAAATAGCTAATTTATTTACTCAATTCATTTATTTATTATGGCTAGTTTTTGCAAGTTAGTATAATATATACATTTATATATTATGTTTTAAAACTATAAAAAATAAGAAATTTTATCAAACATTCATTTATTTATTTTTTTATTTATTGAATGTATGATTAATAAATATATAAATACATTTATTGCTTGTTATGTTTGTTTATTTATTCAATTTGCTTCTTTATTAAAATAAACCAATTAATTATTTTCCAGCATATCTATCTAAAAAACCAAATGTGTATTATTTTATATATTTTATATTTCGAATCTATGAAATAACTAATATATAGTCTAGAGCCTAATTAGAGTATTTAAATATTAACGGTGGTGTCAACAATTTAATTGATAGGTACTATCACTAAGATAACTGCTTATTTTTTAAATTAAAGTAGGCTTAATCCTTAAATTCAAATTAGCTATGCAATCAGATTATTTGCTTAAAAGATTAACTCAATCAAGGTGGAGAGTGGTTCTATAGTTAGATATATTGATTGATAGATAGATAAAAAGAAATATTTTGAGTATATCAAATGAAAGAAAGGCGGGGGAAAAAGAAGAGTATTCAGTTTAAATAAAGTAAAAAAAGGAAGGGTATCGTATTAAAACTAAATGAGTATTAATATCAAAAATCCTTATCAAAAATTAATATAAAGGCTAATAATCAAATAAAGGTAAACAAACATAGATTCTTTTTTGTTAATTGTTTGCTTGATAACTTATTTTTGTTTATTTATTTGTCTGCCTACCTATCTGTCTTATCTATCAAATATAAGCAGTGAAAATGAAAAAAAGAAATGAAAAATGAAAAATTGCAAATGTGAATGAAAATTTCAATGAATTCATGATGTAAATTAGAAATTTAAATAAGGAAACGAAGAAAGAAGGAAGGAACAAAAGACAAAAACAAAAAAAGAAAGAAAAACCAAAAAAAAAAGTTATTAAAAAAAAATCCCTAGCAAAATTTGACATCAAAAGAAATCAAATATAAAAAAAATATCAAAAAAGAAGATAAAAAATAAAAGAAAAAGTGCAAAACAAAGATTTTGTCAAACATTCTTCCAAACTAGAAGAAACTAATAAAAAAGAATCAGAAACTTAAAGCAGAAGCAACAACACCATAAACCATAGTTCTGCATAAATAATTTTATACACCAACTCATCCATTATAAAATATTGAATACTATAAATAAATACGCAACAAATTACTTAACCCGCTCATAACCTTATAAAAAATGTCTACTATAACTTCTACCGAGCCAGCACCAGCTAGTGCTACCTATGTCAATCCAACTCCTACTACCATTAAGGTAAATTTAGTGTGTGAAGACAGAGACACAGCCAAAAAATGTCTCTTCAAGGATTTAAAAGCTCCCTTGCAATCTGATAACACAATCAAGGTTCTAGACCTGATAGAAAAAAATATTAGCCTTCAATATTTCCTCAATAACTGTATGATATTCTAGCCTTCTGATGATGATATGGATATCATGATAGGTTTTTACCCATCAGAAGAAATTCAAAACTAGTACTTATCTATTGATTCCAAAATCAATATCACATTAAAGTTTGAAAAAATACGCACTCCTTCAAGCGAATCTAAGAAAGAAGAAAATTTATCAGCTCAAGTAAATTAAAATCAAATTTCTAACAATAAAAATACAAATAACAATAACAATATAAATAACAACCTCCATATTAGCAATAATAAAACCAGCCAAAGTTCCGAGTCCCATATTATTTCTTAATTAAAGGCCTCTTCCTCTGTCAATGACAATACACCTTCTTCTCACCCCAACAATATTTCATCACCAAAATCATAAAACGTCAGCCAAAATTTAAATAACACACAAGAAAATTGCTAAAAACCTGAAGCAAATACTGCCATTTCTACTGGTGGAGCCATTACTAACAATACATCTTCTCAAATAATATTTGGTAAGGCAGCCACTGCTTCTCAATTGAGCAACGAAGACTTAAACAACAATGATTCTCTTACAATGAGTTCTCATTCTTTGAATATGGAATCAGAAGGATGCTCTTAACAGCTTGAGCCATCAGCCGTTTCAAATCCAAATAATAATTTAAACGATAATAACACTTCTGATAAAGCCTAATAAAACGACAATAAAAAAGTTAAAGCTGATTCGAACTTGTCTGCAACTAACAGTTAAAAAGGATTTAAATTAAACCGTAAACGCAAAGTATCTGAAACCCTCGAGCATTGCAGTGAAAGCTGTAGCAATCACAATGAATCCAAGGATTTATCACCCTGCACTTCATTCACTGAAAATGATGTCCCTAAAATGAAAAAGCATTAATCAGCAATTACAAATGATCCAACATTATCAGAAGCTGGTGAAACCAACAATTGCTTCACTAACTCAATGAACTTAAGCTTAAGTGGAAAGTTACCAATTAATCTTTATGGTCAATCAGGCTTAAATATTGGTACTCACAACTCTAATTTCCATGCATATAATCCTCTCTCTAACATAACTAACAGCAGCATCAATAACAACTCTGGTTTCTCTACCTAGGGCAACTGTGGAGGTAAACAAATAGAAGGTTCAAACATTAGCAGCTTCTAGTACATGAATAATCAATTACATTAGTAAGGAGGTGCTAACTCTGCCAACAGCAATAGTAATAATAACAATAATAATATGAATAGATAATCTCGTAATAAAGAAAGAACTATTAGAGAAGCTATTGAAATGGTCACTAAGTGGAGAGACCTGCAAGAAGAGTACAGACAAAAGCACTAAGTTAAAGGTTTACAAGAAGTTGCTGATGAGCTAAACATTTCTAAAAAGGTTTTAGATTATTATTTCTAAGAATTAAGAACTGCTGAGTTCTTTGGATTTGATTTTGATAGCAATCTTGGTAACAAGATGGGAGTATTACGTAAATACATTGATGAATAAAAGAAGAACCACGAATAAAAAAACAAGAATTTTAAGATTACTCGTAATCTCTAATTCAAGTACAGACTAAAAGATTACCAAAGCACTTCATTTTTATCAAACAGTTCATCATTAAATATCAATAACAGTGCCAACAATATGGGTAGCAATAACGCTAACAATAACAACGATGCCTTATCTTCTACTTCTTCTTAAAAGAGCAAGGAAAAATTCTAATAAAAGTAATCATCTAAAATGGAATAAATTACCAGTCTTCTTTCTTCCTCAGTGTCAAACGGTAATGTGAAAGTTGAAGAAATGGTTATTGAAAACGAAAATAACTTTAACTTTCCATCATCTTTGGTAACAAATAGTAATAATAACAATAATAGCATCAACATTTCAGGTATTGCTACAGCTAATTCCTCTTCCACTGCTACTTCAAATGATTTCTAAAAACTTTTATCAAAGAACTCTCCTAACTTTTTATAATTTTTAAATAACTCTTAAACTTGCACAGCAAACAGTAATGCTAACACTTTCCCATCAACTGCATCATCAAGCAGCTTTAACAATAGCAGCAGCGCCTAATTGAATGCTAATCATTAAAATACAGCTTAATCAAGTCTTAGTTTCCTCTCAAATTTGACAAATTCCGCTTCTGGTTTTTCAATAAATCCTTCAATTAACAGTGAAACAACAACTAAAAAATAGTAAACTTTGACCTAATCACAACAATAAAACTAAACAAACTCTGGAGATAAAAATTTATAATTTTTGGATATGCTCTTTTTTGGTAATGATAAAAACAGCAACAGCAATAGCAACAATATCAATAATCCAAATTCATAAATGGATACCTTAATCTCTTTACTTAAAATGATATCTCAAAACGATGAACCCAGTAATGCCGATTTAGCCATGCCATAATTTTAAAAATCTCATTCAGCATCTTCTTCCCTCTTAAGCAATAAATTTTCAGATGAAGACTTCCTCAATAAAAAGAAAATTGCAGTCATTCAAATTAGAAAACAAGATGAATGAGTGAATTATCAATCTCTAACAAAATTTTAAAAACAAAAAGCCAAGCTGAAAGGATAAAAATTTGTTTAGCTTAAGGAAGAACAATTTCTAGAAGAACAAAACAAAAAATCAAGCTGAACAACTTATTTATTTTCAATCTCATTTCAAGTTTTTCAACTCTATCAGCCAATTTTCATTTAAAATTTAAGAAAATAACAATTATAAACCCTTTTTTTTAAATATTTGACTCAAAAGTTCAAAACGAAAATAGTTTAAAATTTACTTCAAACAATTAATAACTAATTTAAAACGAAAATTGTCTTATATATAATTAAAAACCATTTTGATTATCTTTCCTTTTTCTGGCTTGGTCAACCACCTTAAAATTTTATCTTTTTACCAAAATAATAAAAATACAAAAATATAGTTAGCATTCAAAATGCATACTTTTTGATAGATCGATTTAAAAAATAAATAGCTCTAATAAGCTAAAACATTAATAGAGTGAGTTGCTCCATTTCTGATTAAGAATTCCTATAAATCCATAAAAATCTAAAATAGCTAGTTAAAAAACGGTTTGCTTGCCTGATGAATGCGGTAAAAAATAAAATAAGAAATGAAATCAATTTAAAATAAAGAAAATGTAAAAATTGTAATTTTGTAAAAAATGAAGAAAGATACGAATTAACAAATAATGCTTTTTGATCAAGAAATTTAAGCTGAAAGATCTAAACTATTTTTCACCTTTTTGGTTTGATAGAGCTAAATTTATTTATTTACTAATAGATTAGAAAGAAACAAAAAGAAAGAAAAAAAGTGTCAAACAAACAAACTAACAAACAAAAAACAATTAAATATAATTAGATATTGATTGCTTTAAATGAATGCAATCCTATATTATTAATAAAAACAAAGAGGATTGCATTCATTTGAATTACTAACAATCTGCTTGAGTTTATGATTTGAATCAGTAAATAGAAAGACAGCTTAGATAAAGATTAAAGTAAAGCCCGCTCTTAGTATTTAATTAATAATTAAAAGCCATAAAAAAAGACATAATAATAATAGTAATAATAATAAGTAAAAGAATAGATCGATCTTTTATCATTCAATATCTATTAATTTTCATTAAATATCAAAGACAAATAAAATAAAAGATCTTAAAAAGAAATCCTATTAATTTTTAATTTGAGGTTAATATTATTGCGTAAATGTGACTCATCAGATTAATTAATGACTAATATCAAGATTGCATAATAACCAATAATCAATCAATCAATACTAAAGTTTTTTCCATTTATCCTTTATTTTCCTTTATTTATAAAAGATAGTTGCTCCACCACTTTTGTTACATACAAGCACACTAACTAACTAATAAACTAAAACAATTTAGACACCTATTTCTTGAAAAGTAAGTACCATGCTTGTTTTGTAGAATAGCTTGGTAATAAATAAATATTCGCTCTTCTGTAGAATATTTGATATGAGCTCTTCTAATTAACTTACACATTAGTAATAACACAAAATAAATATAATCATAAATGATTCTTTCTTTCTTCTCCTCCTCTTTGTCTTATTTATACTTCTTAACACCATTTCTATCTATATTTTCCCCTTTTGCCTTGACCTACCTTTATATTAAAAGGAAACTACAATAAGTAAATAATAACAATTATAATTTATCAAACAATACAATTTTAAAGTGCCTTACTAGTTTATTTATATTATTAATAAAATATTGACATGTATTATTTAACTATTATATAATTCTATTTTTATAATTAACTTCCTGTATTTCCCATAAAAAGTAACTTTACAAATTTTGCTCAAATAAATTACATTGATAAAAACATAAATAGAACCTATTCATTTTATTTTTAGATTTTGTTAATTTTGAATTCTAAACAAATCAATTTTTTATATTCTACATAAATTAATTAATTTGAAAAAAAAATATAATATTTATGTTAGAAAAAAAACCAAATCATAAATATTGTTTCCATTAAATTTAAATAATCTTTCTTGAAAATTTCATTTTTATTAACAATAATCCCTAAAAAATAAAGAATATTTTTTTTTGCTCATAAAATATTAATATATTTTATTAAAAAAAGAAAATACAAATACATACATACACTTAATACTAAAAAAATTGGAAGTAATAAATAAAATTTCAATAATTATTTATTTATTTAATTATTATTATTACTTCTAAAAAATGTATTTTTGCTATTTTAAATATTAAAAATTACTTCTTTTTTAATTTTTTACAAATTTAAAAAAGATAAAATTTAAGTTAAAATAATATCTATAGAAACTTCTATTTTTATTCCAGTTAAGTATGTAATTTTTTGATTTAATTTTACATAATTACTAATTTGATTATATTTTTAAAGATAAATATTTTATGAAATATTGTAAAATATTATAAGCTTTTGCTTTATTTAAAATATTCTCTATCTTATTTTTGAAATAATATTTTTTATGATGAATAATTGCTCTTCAACTTAAAATGAAAAAAAATGTTTCTTTTCATTTTTTAATTGATATTTTAAAATTAGTTTTGAATTTCTTAATTTAAAATCCAATAATAATATTTTATAAATTTATTAGAGAAAAACATGATAATCTAAAATATAAAAAAGTAAGTAAATACATTACTTTTAAAATTACTTAAACATTTTAAAAATTAAATTTATTTTTTAAACAATTTTTAAAAAAATTCACTTTTTTAAGCAAATATAATAATCAATATTAATTGCTTTAAAATAAAAACTTAAATTGAAAATGTTTTAAGATCATGAGTCATTCATTTATTTATTAATCAATCAATCTAAATATTAAAATAAAATTTTATTTTTATTTCTGATAAAATTAAAGTAAAAAATGAAAATTTATTTTATATAAAAAATGTTAAATTATTCATTTATATTAACAAATTTACATTATTTAGTTATAAATTAAATAATTAAAATACTTATTTATTTTGATTAATAAATGAGAGAAATTAATTTTTCAAATAAATTTTTAAAGTAAAATGTTATTGAAAATTAGTTAAAGGTTTTAAATTTAACAAGATATTATTACTTTTTTTTAAATTAAAACTATGTATCAATAAAATATGATAATATTTCAGTAAATAGATTAGTTATTTTAAACATTTATTTTGAATGAATGCTGTTTAATTTTTATGAATGGTTCATAAATCAAATAAGTTAATATAATGTTAAAAAATGGATAAATATTTTCTTGTTTAATTATTTATTTTTTGATTATATGATCAATATCTTACATTATTAAACTCAATATAGATAATAATTAATTAAAATATAAAATTTAAACTTAAAAATTGCTTATTAAAAACAAAATTTTATTGAAAATTTTTTGAATAATTAAAAATTTTAAATCATTAATAATTGTTTATTTATTGAAATTGTTCAAATATTCCTTCTTTTTTTACTTACTTTATTATGAAATAAGAAATATTTATCTTATTTATAGTGATAAAAAAATCTTTATAAATAGTTTAAATAATATTCTAGCGTCTTATCTTTATTATTTAATATATTTAAACAATGATTATAAAAGAGTAGCATATAATTCAATTAAATGATAAAATAAATTAGTAAAAAATATATTCATTACTTAAATAAATTTGCGAAAAATTGTAAACAAATTAATTGTATTAATTAAAAATTTAATTTTAAGCTATTATATTTTAAAAAATAAACCTATGAAAGAACATTTTCAAAATAATTTTGATCATATAATTTATAAAAATTATATTTTATTAAACAAATTTAAAAATATTTAATTAAATTTTTTTTTGAACTATAAAAAAATAAATAGCATTAAAAGATCTTAATACAAAAAATACTTGCTTGATTTTAAAAATTGGCAAAACTTTACTAAGGCTTTACTTATTTTAGCCAAGTTTAAAGAATTTAAAATTCTTATTTCATAATATTTAAAGTAATAATAGTAAAAAAATTTAATTTATTTGAATTTATTTTTCTCTAAACTCTTATTTATGAACCGTTAAATAAACAGATTTAAATAATATATTGATTATTCAACTTTATTTATTTTCTTTCTTAAATACTATTAATAAAAATTTTTGAGAGATTAATTACATAGATAAAATTAAATTTATTGAAGAAAAATATTCTGAAATTGAAAAAAAGATTCTTTAATTAAAAAAATAAATAAATAAAATTTGCTTAAGAGTTAGTTTTAAAAATTATTTATTAAATTCTTACTAAAATAAAAAAAATTGATGGTTCATTATTTGAAGAAAAATCTAATTTTATAGTTTTAGTTTGATTAAATAAATAAAAGATATAATTCTCTTTGAATTTTATTACATTTTTCACTATTTACAACTTTTTTTTGTTTATATCTTAAAAGATTTAAAAGATGAGGATTTTTATTTAATAATTTTTAAGAGATTTCTTTTTTAACATAAAGTATTAATTGATAAATAAATTTAGCTTAAGTATTTGTAAGTATATAAATTTTTTATCAATATGTAATTTATAAGAAAATAAGTAAGCGTTCTCATTAATAATTTTCAGCTTAGATAAATTAATTAAACTTAAAATAAATGTTTGCAAATTTATATTTACTTTTTATTTTGATACCAAATTTAATTACCCTATTTCCTTCACAACTAACTCTTAATTTAATCCCAGACTGTAAAGTGTAAAGTTTAAAAATTTAGACTTTTTTTGGGGTGTTAATATAAATAAATTCATGGTAATTTAAGATAACTTACAGTATATTATTTTATATTTTTTATTATTAATAAATATGCTTGAAGTTTTAAAACATCAAGATATATCAATTATTATGAGGATCATTTTAATAAAAACCTCTTTATTGAAGATTAAAAGAGTAATTTAATATAATAATACTTTTTTAAAAAAAATAAAAGCTTTATTTAAAAATTTAGCAAATTTTAACTTAAGTAAAAATTATTATTATGAAAAATTAAGAGGTTTCTAATTATTTTTAATTATATAAGAAAATTTAAATCAGTGAAGAAATAAATAAATAGTTGTGATTTTCATATTTAACTGTTATAAATAAATATATATAAAATTGTTTTTTTAATAAAATGAAAAATACATCTTAAATTCAAAATAGAAAATATAAATTTTATAATTTTATAAGTAATAAAAGTGGCTAATATTGAATAATTTATTTATTATGAAATTCAATATAATAAATAATTTTAGATAATCAATTCAAAAAGAAATAAATAAGTAAGTAAGTAAGTATGGTAAAATGGATGGAAAAAGAAACTAATATTTACTTTTTTAAAGGAAATTAAAATATTTAGTAAATTAGAAAAAATTTTAAAATGACATAAATTTAATAATTTCTTCCAAACTTATTTAATTAATTATTATTTTTAAAATTGTTATGTAGTTTTATAAAACTTTATAATTAAAAAATAATTTTACTATCAAGAAAAGGATTCTAAAATTTTAAAATGTTGTTTATTTGCAATAATCTTTAAATGTCTTAATGATTTCTCTTAGATAAATATTTACAAGATGACCTTTTATAAAAAGGGTTATTGCTAACTTTATTTTAAGTTTATAAAAGAATTTTAGATTAATTTTGAGTAACAAAAAAATTTTATGATTAACCAGAATAAAAAGTTGATTTTATAACAAATAAGAAGATCAAGATTAGAAAGGAGAAAATAAAATAAAATTTATTGTTTTTCTATTCCCTCAAAATGTAGCTATGTTTGTTTGTTCGTCAAAGTATTACAACTTGACTTAAGAGTTGGGTTTATATGTAGTAGATATGCATTTAAAAACGGTTAAAGTTTAGATACACAACAATAGAAGCATAAATATTTTAATTAGTATCTATTAATAATCAATCAATTTCTAATTTATTAAAAATTTACTAAGTATAACTGATAAAAGCTCCTTTTTTTTCATTCATTTTCACAATTAATTATTGTAATCAGAAAATAAATCTTTTCATATATGATCGATAAGAAATTTTTCAAAATTTTATCTACACGATCAAGAATCAAGCTCAATGGATAAGATACTTACAAAATCCTATAATAAATTAATAGAATTACTCTATAAGGGGTAGGCTGTTCAATTTTTTAACATAAATCTTGAGTAAATTCTCAGTAAACAATTAAGCAATTGTTTTATATTAAAATTTTAAAATTAAATCTTAAGTAATCAAGTTTGCATGAAAAATATTAAAATTAAATTAAATTATCTCTTAAAAATTTATAAAAATAAAATTTGAAATAATTTTTTAAAAATTAAATAATAAAATAAATTTTATTTTTTATTTGAATAGAAAAGATGAATTATATTTTTTTATGAATTTTGAGTAATTAGAGCATAATAAATATAATATTTAATTAAGATAAATTGTGATGTGCATGATTAATTAATTTGATATTTCTATATAAAAGCTCATACGCATTATTGTCTGATTATTAATTTTGTTTTAATTCAAAACAGTCTAACTAATATTTGCTTATTCAAAATAGAATTTTTGTGGAATTAGAAAAGGAAATGATCAAAAAGATAATCTTGTTTATGATAATAAATAAAAAATGAGTTCTAAACTTTTTAGGAATGTTTTCAAATGAATAGATTTAAATAATTTAAAGTTTATTTCATGAAATTCAATATAAATTTGTTATTTTTATTATAATTATTTTCTTATTCGCAAACTGTGCTATAAATCAATATTTTTGAAAATACGCCTAAGACAAATAATAATTTGATTCTAAAAGAAAATATCTCAATCAAGCAGTATCTCTAAAATATTGAATACAAACGCTAAAAAATAAATGTTTTAAAATAAGACAACGCAAATATAAAGATCAAATAAAGATAATCATTAAGTAGAATGTGTTGGTTGATGATTGATTTGAGTCCATTAAAAGATTTAATTTAGATATATTGTTTTAGAAAAGCAGCTTTTATAAACTATAAAAATATTGATTTTTATAATTAGAAAGACCCTAAATACTTATATAATGATGGTAATTAATAGAGCATCATTCATTAAAGCGATTTTTATGATTAATAGTAATAGAGTAATATAAGTTCTATTATGAAATCTAATATCAAAACAGAATTTATTGCTTAATTCATTTGTGTGTCTATCGTCACTTCTGAAAAATATCTTTACATTACTTTTTTATATATTCTGAGCAGATTTGCTTTTACTAAATAGGTAGGATGCGATAATACCTTGTTATTTATTTTAGCTTTTGTCAATATATGAAGAAATTCCACTCAAATATTTTTAATTTATGAATATAATTTCTTTTATTCTGATAAATTTAATTCCACTTTCATTCTTTTAATTTTTCAATCTGTTGTGTCTGAGTATGAATATATGAATGTATGTATTTATTTATTTCTACCCTAAAAATGACAATTTACTTAAGATTAAATACAGGTATTAAAAATATTTCTTTGAGTTGGCTTTTCTATTTTGTCATTGAAGAAATTAACGTTATTTTTATATACAAATGTTAGAGAAAAGAAATTGCAAAAACATTACAAAAGCTACTTTTTTCATATAAGAAAATTGCTATGCAATCGCATTCAAAAAAAAGTAAAGTGCTGTTTAATTCTTATTTAATTAAGGTTTTATCTATATTTAAATAAATTTAGATAAAAATCAAATTTTTGTTTCCGTGGAATATTTCTTTTCTTTTTTTAGAATTCATTTAAGTTAAAATATTTTGATATATAAAATAATCTGCTCGAGAGAGTTCTATAATTTAATATTAGATTAATTTTGCAATAAATATTCAAAAAAAAAGAAAATACACATAAGCATTTAACAATAAAATAAAAAGTTTCTTTATAGATTGAAGCGCAATCTGCAGATTCATGCTTCAAATAATTTCTTCAGCTCAAAATTATTTAAGAATCTTGAAACAGAATATATCAGTAGACTTTATTTGCATCTTACCCGTAAAAATAAAGATTAGAAAAATAAATAGATATAAATTCTTAATTCGATTAATGCTTATGAAAGAGAGAAAAACAAAATTAAGAAATAAAGTAATTGCTCTTTAATAAAGTTTTAAATAATTAATTAAGTGATCAATTTACTTAAGTGATTAATTAAAAGTATTAAAAATATATATATTTATATATGGTTTTGATTGATATTTGCTATAAGGAGCGGGCTGATTTGATTTTTAATAATAAATTTCTTTAAAAAACAAACAAACAAATTATAAAAAAATAGTAACTTTAATAGTAAAACACAAATATAAAATAGAAATAAAAAAACTTCTTACCTTAGGGATATTTCTCACCTATTTATTTACGAACTTACGAACTAACCAAGCAAGCAAAGAAGCAATATATCATACTTATTGATATTTCTCTCTTTAATAACTAAATAATATATCTTACTATCTATTATAGAAATCATAGGAATAGATTACAAAATATATTTATTTTATTTAATATTTTTAAATTCTTCAAATCAACTTCCTTTCATTCTAGATAATAATAATTGATTTGATAAATACAAATTAATTATGAGCTAATAAATTCATTAAGAATAAGGAGAAATATCTTCTCAACTAAATGAAAAAGACTAGCAACACAATGCTACCTTATCTCACTAAAATCCCTCAAATACTGAAGAAAACTAGCTGAATCAGTAAATTAATTAGAAAATAGAAGTCAGCTCTCCCCCTCATCAAAGTAACTATCACTTAGAGTCTGCTTTGCAAAAGTAGAATTAGGCTAAACATATGCAAACAATTTAACTTATTTGTGAAGACAGAAACAACTAAAAAAAATGCTGTTTTCCTTCAATTCAACTTGAAGTTTAAGACTCTTCAAATAAAATAAATGTTTTTAATCTATTGAATTCCTCTTTGAGTGTAAAATCTTTCTTAAAGGGTCATTTGATCTTTGTAGAGTAAGAAGGAATGGATATTGCTCTAGGTTTATTCCCTTTCGAAATGGATAAGAGCTACGAATTACCTCTTAACCTAATGGGAGGTAAGCTCTCTGCTAAAATATAACACTTGCGCGTTTAGTCTAATAAGAAATCCTAATTTATTCACAAGAAATCATGCACTTCACTTCCTGAAAAAAATTCCTTTGAAAACAACTAAAACAAGCAGTGTAGAAAGAAAGAAAGCGAGTCTTTAATTGATTAAGAATAAGTACTTACTGCCTTAAACGATGACACTAAACAGGAATATACTTCTTCTCATAGGAAAATTAGTTCTAGCTATTCAAGCAATAACAATTATTGCTCTTCATACTCTTCTGAAATTAATTCCCAATACTTACATGATATTAATGAGTTTATAGAAGATGAAGAAGATGCAGAACAAGATAATGATGATGATGACGAATGCATGGACGGCATTATTAATTTGGGTAAGTTAAAAAGAAATAGAATTTCTCATACTTCAAGCAGTGCAGATTGTAGTCAAAGAGAGAAAAACAATAAATCTGAAAGCAAGCATCTTTGCGGACAGCCTAAAATTATTGTTACAGATGATAATTGTGATGAAGAAGACGAATACAATGAAGGATCTGCCTCCTCTTCGAGCAAATCTTCCTTTAGCATCAAAAAGAAAATTCACAAGGATAAGATTCAAATTATCAAGACCGTTTCTACCTAATAAAAAAGACAATTAAGCTAAAAGATAAAAGGGGAAGAACACTTAATCCCTTCTTTTAATGGAGAAAATAATGCTAATTGCACTGCTCAATCTTTGAGCGCTGCTGAACAACCTAAAAAGCGCCGTAGATAAACTCTAAACAAAAGAAGTCATGAACGTACTATTCGCGAAGGTATCCTGCTCGTAACTCAATGGAGAAACAGCCATGAATACTACAAAAGCAAAAACTAAGTAAAGGATTTGTAGGAAGTAGCTAAAGACATGGGCATTTCTAAAAAAACATTAGATTATTATTATCTTGAATTAAGAACTGCTGAGTTTTTCAACTTTGATTTTGACTAGCATCTAAACTAGAGAATGGGTTTCTTAAGATAATTTATTGAAGATGAAACAAAAAAATTCTAAGATAGCAACAAGTAAGCTAAGATTCCACGTCAACTCAACTTCAAGTACAGATTACCCGAACATAGAGGAAATCCCATAGTATCTCCTTCTTAACTAGCTGCTTAAAATGGCAATAACATTAACATGCCATTCATCAAAAACTAATAAAGTGGTCATATTTACCTCCCAAATGATAATTTCGGTTCTTAAAATCACTAAATGGTGTACAGCCACTCCAATCACTCTCACCACAATCACCATCACCATTAAAATATGAATACTTTCTAAAATAATCAACAAAACCACTTTAGCAGCCAAATAAAATAAAACAATCAATCTATTCCTATCATAAATCAATAATAAAAGTTAAACTAGATTCTTCAGTAGTAACAATAATAACAAATCAATACCTAGAATGCTAACAATAATAACAATAACTAAATTTAATAAATAGATGCCAATTCTACATCATCACTCTCTGTTTTTAATCAAACAACATATGATAATTCTTTAAACTAATCTGATCACAATTTCTTAAATTCACAGCCTACAATCTAGCACTTCTCAGCTCAATCTTAACCTACCTAGATTTTCCATGGCTATCCTTAAGATTCTAAAAACAACACTGACAACATAAGAATTGACCATACTTAAAGTTAAATATTAGATTATTAAATCTCAAATGGTTAAAATTACTAAAATTTCAATATTTAAACGAATTAAATCCAATAAGAAGACTTTAAGCCTTTGCTTTAGTATTCAGAGTAGTAGTAGCATCAATCAATATTAGGAGACTAGTTAAATAATTCTATCTTACACACATAATCGAATAACATGAGCAGATATTTATCTCAATAGAATCAAATGATTCCACTTCCTTCAGCTCATTCAATTTGTGATAGCACATCAAATCTGACATACTAACCCAATCGTCTTTAAAGTTAATAATAAATGCCAAAATAAAACCCAGATTTATTGCATCCTTACGAACAAAAGTAGTAAAATGAAGGATACAAGCTTTTCCTAGATAAATAAAAATAATTAAAATTGCAAGAATAATTAGCTGAAGAGTGTGCTATGCAACAAATGTTTGAGTGAGTTATTTATCTATCTCTCTCTCTCATTTAAAGAAAACAAATTAAAAAAAATATATCTAGAGCTAGTTAACTTAAAACTAAAAATCTCTAATATAAAGCAACTCTAATTGGAAATACTCTCTTAAATTAAAAAAAAAATATATAAAATACCTCTATCAAACTTATATTAACTTATTTTAAAAAACATATATAAAATTTGATTATGATCCTTTCACTTTCTATCCATTTGTATTTATTTATATCTATTCAATTTTTAATAAAATTTCTAAAATAAATCCTAATTTTTATTCTTAAAAACTTTATTTCATATTGATTGATTCATTCATAAAAACTACATAAAAAAAGCTTTAAAAGCACTATTATATGAGTTTTTACATGTATTGAGTTACAACAATTTAGACTTCAAAAATAAGTTCATTTCACATAGAATTTTGAATAAAGAATAATATTAATTTTTCATACAAATCCTAAATGAAATTTAATTAAATTTTTTAACTAAATAAAAATTTTAGATATCTCCATATATTTTAATATTATTTTGCAAAAAAATTAAGCTAATTTCTTAAGCATCAAACTTAAAAAGTAATATCAGTTAAGATATAAATAATATAAAAATTTAGCTTCACTTGGCTTTATAAATATAACCAATTGTATTTATTTTGAGCCTTTGTCAAATAATCGCTCGTGTATTATATCTGTAACATTAAAAAGAACCTAATGTAGATGTAATTAAATATAGATTAGGGAGGATAATGGAATTTAAAAGATCACACCAAAATTGAATTTATTAAGTGATTTTAATTAGTAGATAGTGCGGGTAGGAACTTTCGTATCTTTATTTAATTTACTGAAAAATATTTAATTCCAATTTTCTATATTAAAATATTGATATTTGAAGCAACAAATAAAATAGAAAGATAGGGGAAAAATTTTTTATCAATCACAATTTCTTATTTATGTAATTAAAATTAAAGCTAACTATTTATTTAATATAGTTGGACAACTATTTCTTCGAAGTAATATTCAAACAACTTCAAAAAAATAAAAAATGCATTGAAATTTTATACCTGCTAAAAGTAAGTAAAGACACAAAATTCTAGTTCAAAGGAAGAAAAATATATTTTTTGATTATATTTTTTTACTTGATGTAATAATAAAATTATTTTAATTCAAATTATAAATATAAATTCTATGTAAAATATTGTAAGCGCTAAAAAAATTCAGGCTTAATTTCTTATTTATTTGTTATTTATTTGCATTAGAGTGGTTATCTATTACTTTTAGTTGATAAAATTTATAATTTATTTTCAAATGTAAAGTTCTCTTTCAGCTTAATTGCAATCGAGATGATTACAGATTGATTTAATTAATCTAATTGCTTTAAGGCCTTAATCAATTTTAAAGTTTTCTATCCTAAAATAATAGAAAGCACATTAGAACTTATTAAAAAATAATATCTAAATAATCAAAATAATAACTTGCGCAAGAATTTCAAATACATTTTCATAACTTTTTTGAAAATATTTGTAAAAATGTAAAAATATTATTTACTACTTCCGAAATTATTAAACACTTATTAAATTTTTCAATTGAATTACTCAAATTAGAAAAAGATAGATTATTCTTAATGTTATCATAAAATTTAGATAAATTTGATATCAGTAATTATTATCAGTCTAAATATAATAAAAATTATCTCTAAAAAGTATAATCACTTTTCTATATTATGCTTCTCTAGCACTTATTTCTGTAAGTGCGCTGTATAAATATTTTTTTTTAATTACACAGAATTATTAAGCAAAATAAAAAATTTATATGCCTAGAATATATTTTTATAATTATTTTCTTTAAAAAAAAAAATAAATCAATATTATTTATTTTTCTGTTCATGTTTTTTGTAAATTTTAACCAAATTGTTTAGCCATGTATTTTTAATCGACAGATGCTAATCAGAATTTATCAAAGTATCCAAAATATCAACTATTATAATTACAAAAATTTAATTACTCTTTTTCGAAATTTTTGAGAAATATCTTTTTTATTCTTTATTGAATAAGTGAATGCGCTTTCTTAAAATGCAAATTTTTATAAGCGCTATAAACAAATTTATTTCTTAGTTTAAATTTTTGCTCTTTATTTTAAACATTTCTTTTAATTTTTAGATTTTTGTCCTTTAAAATAACTAATTGCGCTTATTTATTAATTTACTTACTTACTTCTTATGAAAAAATATCAAATCATCATTTCCTCTCATTGAAAATTAATGAATTTAATATTTTTTCTTTCACTATTTTCTTCTTAAAATTATAATTACGATTCTAAAAGAAAATAGAAATTAAATAGAGTTTAAAATTAATTCTTATCAAAAAGTAAGAGGACCTAATCAACACTTTTGATAAACCTACACTTCCATCAAAAATAATCTAATCAAAAAACCCTAAATACTATAGCAAAAAAATTCAAATCATTATTTTTACATTTTTCTTTATTTAATAAATTATTGTAGAGCTCCTTCAACTTATTTACAAATTTCGGATGTTATTTTATTATTAAAGAGAAACTTGTCTTGTTCTTTTGAAATAATCTTTAAAACAATTAGTTTAAATATATTTACAATTTATTTTTTGCACAAAAATTTAATGTGATAACATAATAAATAATTTATTTTCATTTTTCTGAGTGATATCTTCATTTAATTTAAATCAATTAGTTGTTCCCTCTTTTGGATGGTCCTTCCTTCTTTTTGATGATCACCTTTTAGTTCTGATCCTTTTTTCCTCATTCTTCATTTGTTAGTTAATTTGTTTTATTTTTTCTCTCTCTAAATAGATACTTAAATTGTTTACTAAAGTATTAACTAGGATACTACTTCTTTTTAGCATACTAAGTACTTCTTCAGGTCTAAATAATATCTAATTTGTAACAAACTATATTTGCTGTCTCCATACTTTAAATTATTCTCAAATTAATATTATATCTAACTAAATATGTTTCCTTGATAGATAGAACAAAATTTATTATCCCTTTGATTTCGTTTTCATTTCTAACTTTTTTCTTACTCTTCACACCTTTTATTTTTTTTGAGAGAAATTCTTTTGTAAATAAGGAAATTTTTAAATCCATATTTTCTTGCGTTTTTGTCAATTCTTATCAAGTAATAAAAATTATTGTTCCATGAGCCTACAAAATCCATTAAATCCTTCAAATTGGTCTATTTTTTTTAAATATTTTGGTAATTGATAATTGATATTTTTATTTATTAAAATGCCTTATCCAATCAATAAGTAAAAAAAGAAAAATAAATGAATAGCTCTTTACTAAACTGCTTGCTAACTTTGATCAATTAATTATAATTCAGTCACTTTAAATATACTACCTAATACTGTTTAGATATATAATACTCAAGCAAGCTGGATCTATAAGTTATCTTAAAATTTATAGAGCTTTCAGCTGTTCAACTGGATTCGATTATGAATTAGTAAATTTTTGTACTTATTGCAGTATCTTATTTAGGTATTTAAGCTAAAACCAATACCCCTTGTGATGCTGGCACATATAAAAAATAAGGCTTCTAGATTTACTAGTTGTTCTAAATATTATGCATCTAGTTTATATGGTACAATTAATACAGTAAAGGGTACTTTCTCTGATGCTTAAGCTATGATTTGTATTAATTGTCTATTAAAATATTGGAATGATGCAACATGAAATACTATTTGTCCAAAAACTGCTACATAATATCTCACATACTTCCAATACCTCTGTATATACTTATGATACTTGCAATTTGGTACCAATTCTTCATTTTCTAGTTTTCAATTTAAGATTTATTATATTTTCCTGATGGTTTTTACAATAATGTAACAACAATTGATTTTTTTACTTCCTGTCCTGCTTCAAAATATGCAACACCTGAGTCAAATACTTGCAAAAATAATTTTAGAAAATATTCTACAGTTTTATTCAGTAAGAGAAATGAAGATGATTCAAATACCTGCTGTAATGGATGCAAAAAGATATGTTAATACTTATTCCAGTATTGGTTCATTTAATACTTAAATAAAAAATAATTTTTCCTCTGATTGTTTGTTCTACCTCCATTATTACCTATGTATGTATGCACATAAAACACTTCGGGTTATAATGAGGATGTTAGAGAATTTAATTCTTTTGTTATGATCATTCATTCAATTTAGTTTAGTTTTTCTTACTTTAATTATTATTTTTTGAAAGACTTTTATTATATTTTGGAAAATGATACCATAGGTACTCTTCTATAAGGAGGGTCGAAAATTTTCAAATTTTACTCTGCTTATTGAAAAATTCCTCAAAAAATATAATTTCAGATAAAAGAGCCAGGCTTATTAATGAGCATGCATATTAAATATTATTTTTAAATAAAAATTAATCAAGCTATTATTTAAATTTTTAAAGTAATATTTTATTTTAAATCAATTTCTAGCAGTTATTTTTGCTAATTTAAAATTTAATTAATTATTGATTCTCATCAAAATTAATATTGATATTGATATAATAAAATATAGACGATATTCATAAAATGATATCTTCTCACCTCTATTTTTATTGATACATTTGAAAATATTTACATCAATATTTATGAGTGTTAAAATTTAAAGAAAAAAACAAATTTTATTAATTGCTTTTAAGTATTTATAATTTAATTTATTTACTTTTTATTATGAGAAATTTATAAATAAATTAGTTAATAACAACAAATTAGTTTAAGTAGATTTTATTGTTTTAGATGAATCATAATTATTTGTTATGAATGTAAACTAAATTAATAAATAAATTATATTTCAATTGAATATTATTTATTATAAATGCAAATTTAAATATTTTGAAGTAAGTACTTTTGGATTTCATATTGTTTTAAATAATCTTTTAAATCTAACTGAAGCTATTAACAGAAGAATCTATTAAAAGATATAGAATCATCAAAAATTATAATTTGCCTAAAAGAAAAAACAAATAAATATTGACGCTACTTTTGATTTTTTTAATTATTATTAGTCAACAATTAATTTTAACAAAAATTTTATATTACTAATTTTTTATAGATAGAAGAGATAAACAAATTAAGTCATTTATTTATTAGCTTCATAAAAATGGCATCCAGTTTACAATAAGGATATTAAAATTTATAATGTGAAATTAAAGGTCATGAATAGCAAAAAATAGTTTACATATGCGCAAATTAAGATTGTAAAAGATAAGAAAGACTGCTTTGCACTAAATGTGCAATTTAGCATGGAGATTCACAATATTTTATATTAGTAGATGAAATAGTTAAAAAGGATGAATTCAAAACTGAAAACTGGCCTATTGATTTTGAAGGTTAGTAGGTAATGCTACAATAATCTATAAATAACAATTCTAGGAATATTTTAGAGAAATTTTATCACCATATTTTTATTTTTTTAGAAATTTTTAATTGTTTAATAACAAAATTATTCAATTTAAATTATGAAAGAAACTCAGAAATAATTATTTTTTTCTCATAATTGATTAAATATTTATTAAAAATTGACTCAAATAGATCAAAACATTTTTGAGCTAACACAATCCAGATTCATTCGAAGAAGTAATTGAGCAACTATTTACAGAATTAGAAGAAAAAATAGCTGAAAGAATAGATTCTATAAAATAAGATATGAAATTATCTTTCAAAAAGTAAACTAATTTAATGACAGATTAGATAGTCAAGTTGCATATGATATACAGCAAAGCATACTCTTTAGATAATTTAAAGGAGTCAATATTTTAATACATAGAAGAAACAATTGATAAATTTTAAGTAGAAAATAAAATTAACGAATTTCTTCATTCATTTTAAAGATAAACTGATAAAGTTGAAGCCAAAAGGTACTTAGATTAGCTTCTACCTAAATGCTCTTTCTACATTGATCCTTAAAGATTTAGAGATATATCATACAGCGAAATTATTTCTAACATTGATAAGTTATAATAATCTTTTAAAGACTCTTTCAATCCTTTGACATGGAAGTTTGTTAATTCTAATCTTTACCAAAGCAAAGCCTTATTGGAAATTAATGAAGGTATAACTTTCTAAAGTCGTTCAGAGTATGGTGAAGAAGTCATTCTTTCTGATAGATCTTTCTAATATGGAACTGCTTATATGAGGTATATATATTATTTATTACAATATATTTTATTATTAATTAATTAAAACATAAAAATTAATTTTCATAAAAATTTCACTAGGATTTCAAAATTATTTTAATATAAATTATAATAAACTAATAAATTTTTTAATTTGAATTTAATAACATTTAAGAAGTAAAGAAAATTTTAAAAGTACCCTAAGTAAATTTTAAATATAAATTATATTTCATTTTTATGTAAATAGGCTTAGATTTGATAAAGTATCAGAAAACTATCCATGCCATACTTTAATTGGTTTATACTCAACTAGGAATAATAAGGAAGAGTATTCTCCTTTGTTATGTTTAGCATGTTCAAATTATTCTGAAGGTATGATATGCTAAAATGGATAAAAATTCAATCTTTAAAAAGGGTCTGTAATAGAAGTAATAGCTAATTTTGATAAAAATACAGTTGTGATGAGAGAAATATTAAATGATGGTTATGGAGCTATATGGGTCTCATCTTAATTATCTGAAAGATTAAATGCTTCTCCTAAAAAATTTTTTGTATTTTTTATGAATTGTGGAAGCAATTAAGTTACTTTGCTCTCAAGTTATTGATTTAAATTAATAAAGCTTATTCTTTAAAATATTCAAATTAATTAGTAATATTTTGTAATAAAATTATAAGACATTCGTTATATTGTTAAAAAAAATATTTTAATTATTTATTATAAAGTAAAAGTAACTCAGTTTATTTTATTAATTTAAATTGCATTTTAACAAACTAAATATAATAAGCAATAAAATTAGCATTTATTTATTAAATTTCAAAAATAAAATTATTTAAAATAACTTAAGCTAAATAAATAAAAATCTTTTAAAAGTTATTATTTTAGAGGATAAAAATTATATTATTTTATTTATTTTCAAATACATAAGTGCATTAACTTAGTAACAAAATCAATCTTTTAAGAAGAATGCATTTTATTAAGTTAGATGGAAAAGAAACCATTTTTTTTATCTAATTTTAAAAAATAAAAATCAAATTCAATTAAAATACAATTATTATTTACTTTTTCAAATAAAATATTTAATTTAACTAAAAAATTTTGAAAACAAATTTTTTCACAAAAATTTATTTTGCTTTTATTGGTTAAATAAAGAAAAAGGATTTTAGAAAATCTTCATTTTATTAAGAATAAAAAAAAAAATAAATTAAATTAAAATTATTATTAAATAAATATTCTCAATATGAAGATATGTAATCTAATTTTTTATAAAATTAAAAAATTTAAATTTATTTGATTTAGTAGAAATAGAATTAATTTTTATTCTAAGAAAACAAAAGAAATTATTTACAAATTGATAAATCAATAATTAATTTTATGAAAATCATCAAAATTTTTTTAACTTTTAAAAATATTTGTAAAAAATGTTCTATCAACTATTAAATTAATAATATTTATCTTTCTATCAATAAATCTTTATTAACTTTAATAAAGATCTTTGAAATTAATAATTTTTTTATTTAATTAATTATTTACTTGAAGTGTATCATACAAATATTGTTTTAAAGAAAATAGGGAAGTTAAAAATTTTAAATTAGGAGGATAGCACCTTAAACAGTAAGAAAACTTAAAGTCAAGTAGAAATAAAGTCACGTGAATGATTAACAAAATATTTTATGGGAGAAGTTTGTTTAAAAGTAAAACATTTAAGGGATTTTTCAGAAAAATCGAAGATAATAAGCTATTCCCATAAGACACTAAATATGAGCTAATTGAGTTGAATAATTAGCTTACTGTCGATCCTGATACAGTAGTCTGCTTCCGCTCAACTGATTAACTATTTTATAAGAGACTAGTTGAAGATGACCCAATCAAAAATACTCCTGGGTATATTGCATTTAACTAACACTTACCATGGTTTTTTACTAACTACTTATCTCCTGAACATCATAATTATCACTTCATCTTCTACTTTGATGAGGCAATTACAGACATAGTTTATAAAAAAGACAATCAATTCATTTAAATAGCAGGATCACTTGATTATGGATTTTACCTTGCATATCATAAGCTCAGTCTTTACCTAGAATTGCATAACGAAAAATAATTTTTGTAGTCAATTTAGAATGAAGAACTAGGACATAGCTCTAAAATGAGATAAATTAGTTTGCTAAGCAAAATAACTAGCATAGATTAATTAGGCTTAGAGGATGAGTAAAGAGTGGTTAATTTTTAAAATGAAAATTTCTGCTTTTAAATTGAGCCTTTCATGCAAGAACAGAGATCAAAATTGTTCTTGGAACAAAAGACTAAAGTATTTAAATAAAAACTAAGCCAAGATGTTAGCTTTTAAACAAAACAAGAAGTTGCGTTTAATTTCGAAAAGCTTATTTATAGATAAATTTATGATAAAATGCTCTCAATTCGTGAGCAATTTAACAAAAAGCACCCTAATGAACAATGTGTAATACTTTTGTGTGGTAAATTAACATATAATAAATATTTTAGATAGATGGTAAAGTAAATATGCGATAAATTGAATATCAAAATTATACTCCATGAGTAAAAATACCACAATATTATTCCTTACTTCATAAATCAATGCTACACATTCAAAGACATCTAACAAAATCCATAAAACATATCTACTTTTATGAATGTGAGTTATGGTGTGCATAGACCATTTTAACAAGTTTTATGAACCTATAAAAATTAATTATTAATTACTAATTTAGTTATAAGTATATAATTCTTTCTTACTTTCACGTTTTATATTAATATGTGTAGTAAGTAACTATAACTTTTAAATAATTGATTATTTATGATGAAATTTTACTTATTATCTCAATAAAGATTCACAATAAAAGTTAAAAAAAAAATATTTTTTCTATCTTTTGATAAATGATTTATTTAAGAGAACAAATTAATTTTAAGTTTTGCGAATATTTCTATTGTATCTCCTATGTGGTTTGTAATAACATTAAACATATGTTAAAAAATGTTAGTACATAAGAAATAGCTAATTGCTAGCAAATTTCATTAATTAATAAAATACTTTAAATTAATTGAGCTTTTAAAATTTATAAATATTGATAGATTTTTATTTGAATTTCGTCTTAATCTACTTTATTATAATTTCAATAGTTAATTAATATGCACTGCTTAATTATAAATCTGAAATACTTTTTTAATTTTTATTATATTAAACATATAAAATGTAGTGAATTTAGAAATAATCTCTAAGATTATTCTCAATATAACGATAATATAAATAAATATTTTAAATATTTCAATGAATTTAGTACACTTTTTAGTAATATAATTTCTTAAAAATCTAATCCAATTTTGAAATGTATTTTTATTAAAATTGTTTTTGCTAACAAATAAAAAATTAGTAAAAAAAGTAAGTATTTCTTTCTTTATAAAAGCTCATTCAAAGGAATTTTAATTTACAATTTAAAATACCATCAGTTAATTAATTAATATCTAATTAATTAGTTTAATATTTCAAACTTAGAGACATTTAGAAAACAAAAAAAATAGATTCTTTTAATTTTATAATATTCAATTTACATTTATTTAAAAAAGCATCTCATAAGCAATTTTTATCTTTATAGAACATATGAATAAATGGATAGCTTAATATATTAATCAATAAAAAATTAGCTAAAGAAAAGGACTTTTAGTTTTAGTATTGAACATGCTTATTATTTGGAGATTGATGAATCTAGATATAAAATATAAAAAATTAATTTATTAAAATCATATGAAACTATCTATAAAAATGAAATAATAATCAGAATATTATAACTCAATAATATAAATAATGCAACTACACTCTTAGAGATGGGAGAGTTAACAGGAAAATAGGTATTCTAATGTAGAAAAATACTTATTAAGCCATAAAAAATAGTTTATTTTGACAAAATAAAATGGAAGAAATCATAAAAAATATTGAATAAGCTAAGATAAATTAAAAAATTATATTTTTATACGATAAAGAAAGTAATACTGATTCTACTAAACAAATTTAATTATAAAAACTTATTTTATGAATAACTTATTGAATTTAAAGAAGGAAAATTATAGATACAAAGATATCAACTGCTTCAATTTTGTTGGTGGAAATGATCTTTAAAGTTGCAAAGAAGTAGAAAAAAGATACTATTTGTTCAAGATCAAATCTATTTATGAATAAGTCCCCGTATTATATAGCACAAGCATCCTGTGATTTTTATAAACTATTTTTTAAAATTAATATTTTATATTGTTATTTTACTAATATTTATTCAATAAATATATTTAAATAATATAATTTATATGATAAAAGACATTTATATTAATCTTGTCGTTAAAATTTTATATATTTTATTGATTTATTAAAAAGTATATTTATTCTAAATAATTGTTTAAAAGTATTTTTAAAATTTACTTGATAATTTTGTAACAAGAATTCATTTTCATTCAAATATTTTGCTTGTTATTCTCTTAACAATAATCTTGCATTTTTTGCTATTGTTCTTTATTTGCTTACCAATAATCTTGCTTTTATTGCTAACTCTCAAGAATTTTTTGCTAATTTTCAAGCATCTTTTGCAATTTATCGTTATTTGCTTACCAATAATCTTGCTTTTATTGCTAACTCTCAAGCATTTTTTGCTAACTCTCAAGCATTTTTTGCTAATTTTCAAGCATCTTTTGCAATTTATCGTTATTTGCTTACCAATAATCTTGATTTTATTGCTAACTCTCAAGCATTTTTTGATAATTTTCAAGCATCTTTTGTAATTTATCGTTATTTGCCAACCAATAATCTTGTATTATTTGGTTTAGAAGAGATGAGACCAAAACTGTTAAAAATACTACAAAAGCCCATTTCATAAGTAAAAAATTTATGTTTTCTTATTTGCTCTCTTTAGCTTACCTTTCATTATTGATATTTACTTAATTTTGAGGGTTTTCATCACCTTTTTTCTATTTATAAAAAATATAAAGTTTGAATTTTTTACCAGGCATCTTGTTAGAAAGTTATTTAATTTTTTTAATTCTAAAAATTAATAATTCAAAAATCAATCAAAAATATAATGCATCAAATTCTTTGATAATAAAAATTTAAAAGTATTAACTTATTGTGGAGCTTGGTCTACCCCTTTTTAAGCAGGCAAGTTGTTACTACTCTATTAATTATCAGGTACCTTTTAACTATCTACATTTTAACTAGATACATTAGAATTTTCACTTTACTCCTTACTAAACCAGGAGGGGCCTAAACACCTAAATTTTGTCCAATCTATTTTTTCATTTCTTAGATCTTTTTATTTTAGTATTTTTATGAATATTCTTATTAATTATTAATTATATTAAAGCAATTATAATCTTATTCAATATAATATTTTTTCCTTAATTCAATATTATAAAATTAATATTTAGCAAGCTAAGATTAGGTTATTTGGAATTAATAAAGTATCTAATTAAATTTTTATTATGTTTCCAAGTTGGAAAATTTTAGCTTAAGGAAAAAAATTAACTAAAGCTTAAATAATTAAAAGATAAGAAAAATATATTATTTTTAATAAAATTTTCTAAATAATATGATGAATTAAATAAAATATTTTATTATTTGATATGATGTCAAAAAAAGTAAGAAGGGTAAGTTAATCAAATAAATTTTGTGTTATCTTAAAACATTTTTAGTGAAATTATTGTATTTAAAATCTTCTAAATCATTCAAAAATCCAAAATACCCATCTTGTTAAAATTTGTTAAAAGAGTTAAAGAAAATATATCTTAAGATAATTTTTTAGTGTTAATATTGAAAATATAAATCGGAAAACATAAATTTATCTTAATTCATATTTATTTACTTTATTTTTGGTTATTTTAATAAAAATTATTTTGCTAGTATTAAATAAATAAATAAAATTAATTTAAACTAAAGTAAAAATAAATGCAATTTTAATTAAAAATAGCTTTTTCATATGTTTTTCTAGAATCAAAATTAATAAAATACAATTTTCAGAAAAGTTCTAAAAATTTGTCTTAATTAATAAAGTTTTTATCAATAAGAAACTTCAGCATTTAATATATGCCATCAGATCAGAAAATATATAAGAAGACCAGATTACAAATCATAAACACTATTATAAAAATAAATAAAATATAACAAACTAAAATTAGAAATTTTATTTAAACAATTTAAAAGAAGACTCAATTTAACTTTAAAATTTTAAAGTAATAATTAATTTTTTTAATTTAACTAAAAGCTTATTATGGAATTAAATTTTAATATTTATTTATTTATTTACTTTGAATAAACATAGTCTAAAAGTTTGTTTTTTTAAGTAATAAAAATTTTAGTAATTTTATTAATTCAGAAAATATCAAATAAAAATATTTAATTATTATTTTATAGTAAACTATGATTTTGGGGTTGGGGTTGGGGTTGGGGTTGGGGTTGGGGTTGGGGGTTGGGGTTGGGGTTGGGGTTGGGGGTTGGGGTTGGGGGTTGGGGT